CCCCCCCCCCCACCACACACACACACCCCACCTCATTCACTGGTTCCAGAATATGAAGGTTTTCAAAATTTGAAATTTCCGACTCTGAGAATTTTTCTGCACGCTTGTTGAAATCTCCGACTCGGAGGAAAGAAAACAGGACATTTTTGTTGATTTTTTTTTCCCTTTTCCTGTTTTTTTTCCTTTCCTTTTTTGGGGTGGGGTGGGGTGGGGTGGGGTGGGGTGTCTTGACCAGTTGTAGATCAATCAGTGCAAGTACTAGCTTTTTTTTTTTTTTTTTTTTTTTTAGACGAATATCAGCGCGAATACTAGTTCTGCAGGTAAACGTCAAGAAAAGGAGTGGGTAGAGGAGCTCGTTTTCTAAGAGGAAATTTGTGCAGTATTCTTTTTCTTTTCTTTTTTTTTCAAGTAGAAGAATAATAGCTGGCATGTGTCTTACTTTGATGCTGGCTGGCATTCACTGGCAATGGGTTGAGGTGCCACGTGGCAGTCAATTTTCTATTTATTAATCTGAATTTGTGACAAACTTCTTCTTCTTCTTCTTCTTCTTTTTCTTCCTAAGCTCCATGATAGAGAAAATCCTCTTCTTCTTTTTTTTCAGTTTGGGATATATAAAACGAATTATTTTTTTCTTGTTTTCTTCTGTTTTTTTTGCCTTTGCGCTCTGATATTCATGTGACGATATATACATATATATAAACTCCGACGAAACAGTTTGTCACAGCCCCTCGTTTGTTGTCCTCTTCTCTCTCTCTGCCTACGGTTTACCGGGCAGTTCTGTTTGTGACGATATATATATAGACAAATGTAATCTACTGCAGATTGCAATAGCTTGGGATTTGTATAGTTTTTTTTTTTTTTTTTTTTTTTTTTTTTTGAGAAAAAGGAATGTATAGTGCAGAGTGCAATAGTTTGGGATTTTTATTGATAAACCTAATCTAGTGCAGATTGCAATAGATAAAATCATAAACACAGCTTGCAGCAGATAATCCGTTATAGAAGAACTCGTTTATCTATACATTGCTATTGCTATGGATAATAGACAAAATCCAAAACAGATGGCAATGAAATTTAGCCCTCGTCCCCTCTGAAAAACAGAAAATTTAATCGAAAATCCTTCGTCTAACCTTCTTTTTTTTTTTTCTTTTTTTTTTGAACCATTTGTCGATTTTATGCGTGGCATCCTTGCGCAGAGGCCATGCTTATCTTTTGTGTCTTGTTCCAATTTTATTTTTAAGGGTGTCATGAAGGACTTAACTGGAATTCTTTTTTTTTTTTTTTGAAGGAGCAAAAGGACGTACGTGGAATTCTTGCAGTAGATATACAGTTATAAACCTAATTCTTTCGATAAACGTAATCCAAAACGGATATCGTAGACGTCAATACATAATCGTCATCTATCTGGAAAATATCCGGAATATTGCAAGGGATAATCCTTCCTCCTCATCTCTCCTTTTTTTTTTAATGTTCCAAACAACAGAGAATATATAATAGGAAGGGGAAAAAAAAAAAAAAAAGATGTATCGAGATTCGAGAATACATAAGACAGCAAGAGATGATGCTCGCTCGTCTACTTCAGACTCTTCAGAGTTGTAGTTCTCTTGTTGTACTACAGATATCCTTATTTTTATTTTTAGTTTGCAACAACAGATAATGTATTAATAGATCTTATCCAGAATAGGTAAGGCGGCGATAGATAATGCTTTATTTAGTTTGCAGTTCTACGGATAGATCATTTGAGCTTTCTTCTTTAGGAAATTCAGGTTGCAAAGAACAGGTTTTTGTGTACCAAAATAGTAAATAGACTAAAATAGTCAATAAACTTTATCCATAATAGATAAAAGGTGGCAGAGTTATCTGCAACACCGCCGCACGTTCCCCCCCCCCTTCCAACACCCTCCTCCAGTCTTATTACGTTTTCCTATTTTTTAATTCCCCCTTCCTTTTTTTTTCCTTCTTTTCTTTTTTTACCATCTCCATTCTGAGTGTCTAATGGAGGGGTGCCCCTAGTTTTTTTTTTTTTTTGTCCTTTTAAATTTTAATTAATGCCTGACAATCCGGAGGTAGTGGTATCACAGTATCTGAACATTTTAGTTTTTGTGTGTTTTTTTTTAACTTTTTT